ATATGTTAACTTATATATAATGATTTTTATATGTAACCATCATTACCAACATGACATTCATTATGCACAGATTTAATGAAAGGAAACAGACTCATGGAGAGGTTAAAGACCATGCTTAGTATTGAGAAGCAGAGCTCAGAATGTCAGTGTGGGGGCTGGGGATTTAGCTCAGTGGTGCCACCAACTGCCTTGCAAGTGCAAGGTCCCGAGTTTGATATGGGGGGGGCACACCGAAAAACAAAACCTCTGAAAAGAATGTTAAATGTGGGTAAAATGTTAATTTTTCTGAATGTTTATGAGATTGACAGAGTTTAGGATCTTCTTTTACATTTAGCAGAGTGCTGAGAAGAGAGAATGGTGTGGGAAGGGAAGAGCATTTCTGATTTGTTTTCTTGTTTCCTTTTCTGGTTTTCGCACATGAAGAACAAATTGGATGAACTCAACAAACGCCTTCACACCAAAGGGTCCACCGAAGGTAAGGGTTTATCAAGAGACAGTTAGATAATTTTGTTTTCTAGTTTTCAGAAATGGAGCACTTTCCATGTACTTTATAGTGGAAGTACAATATTTAACACTTCACATTTGTATTGAAAAGTGGGATTTTCATCCGTCTGGCAAAAGGGTCTTGGTTTATTCTATTATGCAGGCTGCATGCTAAATGATAGAAAGCTCTATATTCACTGTTTCATTTTCCTCGGAAAACAGATGATCCATTGTGTATCTGACAGGTCCTAGGGTGAGATGCTAATGGGACTCCTGCAGAGGGAGTGGTAGTCACAGTTATAAATAGAAGGATCAGAATGCAAAGTGAATGTGTTTATCATGCATCACAAACATGTACTAATTAGAAACAGTCATAATAGCAGTGGTCCCTACACTGAATAAAACCTCTATCACAGCATTGACGCTCAAAGCTTATGTGTTATGTGTGTGTTTGTGCGTGCGTGTGTGTAGTGGTGTGTGAGATTCAGAAGAATCGTTCCCCCTTTCTGGATATGTTTGAATATCTAATGAGACTTATAAAGTATTTATAAAATTAAATTTCTATACAAATGTAAAATTGTGAGATTTTTTATTAGTTGTTTAAAACAAAGATGTGGGCAGGTGATGTTTTGCCGAATAAGTGCAGAAGAGGAACAGATGTGACCGTTTTACTGTCACAGCCTGTACCTGTCCTCGGCTGCCTCTAGAAAGGACTTGTACAAAAGCTGCACAGACCTGTGGGGACTTAGCCCAGGGGACACTGGAGGTTACAAAAGAAGACTGTTAAGTTTATCTTAGGCAATAATGTGTTGTAAATATTTGAATGATGAGGAAGAAAAAATGATGTTCTAAACTGCTTGCTGAAGTCAGAACATTTCTAGATAGTTGGTAAATCCTGGACCTTAATTGCATGACAATCGCTGTTTGGGTGATGTGCAGCTGATCTCTTGACAGAATTACTGCGCCATGAGAACGCGTTTCCTTGTGACTTTGAACCAATGGATGAATGAAGGAATTGGAGTGTGTGTGGTGCTTGGGACTGAACTCAGGGCCTTTGCGTATGCTTGGCACGTTCTCTACCCCTGAGCTGAGCTATAACTCCAGGCCTTTTGGTTGGTTTGTTTGAGATAGGGTCTTGCTATTTAGTCCAGGCTGGACTTAAACTCGTTGAAATCCTCTTGCAGGGGCTACAGGTGTGAGCCACCACACCCGGATGAAATGAAAAATTAAAATCTCTCATAGCAAGAAATTCTGGCCATAAAGCCAGGTATAATTTTCACTATTGAATAAGTGAACAATTTATTTCCACCCTAATCTTCTATTTACATTGCTATAGAAATGTTGTCTTTCCTTGATAGCACTCACTATTATCTTTTGAGGAAAGGAATTAAAAATCATTTCATCACCTATATTATATGTAGCTCTTTCCCACACACAATGAGAAGTTACTCTGGGTAGAAAAAATGATTTAAGCACTAGTAATTCTTACTAAAATAAAGCGGATTCCTGAAAATGATTAGAGAGAGAATTTATGACTGTTTTCCATCCTGAAGTGTTTCAAGTTTTTGTTAGTTCTTTGGAAACAATAGTTTTGCTAAAAAGGAAGGAGATACTTACATTTCGGGGTGTCTATGTCTGTGTGTATTTTGGGGAAAAGGTAGAACAGATCAACACACAGCATAACTGCTTGTGAATTATAGGATTTGAGATAAATTTGGTGATAGACACCAAATTTTGATAATTTACCTATTAATGTTCTTCGAGGACATGAGTTAGAGCATGCGGTTTATTAAACCACCACAACTATAACCACTGCTGGCACCACGTGAGTGGAGAATGAATTTGGTGTTTGTGTATTTCGCTGTGACCTGTTCAGTGTGCCAGGGAGGCAGAAGGTTTTGGAGGGTTAAGAGTTTCAGAGCTGTACAGCTGAGAGATCTGACTCAGGTACTATACGCCCCTTCGGTCTGTGTCATTTCCCCCCGAAAATGCTTCTTATTCTGTGTTGGTGTAAAGAGAATATGTCAAGAGAGAATGCCAGTGCATATCAGGGTTTGGAAGTTGTTCCTGGAATCCTACATGCTCTGATCCAAACTCTTGTCTTCGTTAGAGATTACGAATGCTGTCTTAGCAGGCACTGCTCACACAGAGCTCAAGCCCGGGCGTAGTTGGACCTCATTCCGATATGTCTTCCACTAGGAAACCCCACAGGCAGCTTCCCAAGGGAGACTGCTGAGGGCTAAGGAGAAGAACAGTGTGCCAGACAGTTGGAGGCCCATCTGGGTTTTGCTGTACAAATCATAAACCTCCACTCCCTTCGTCAGTCAAACAGAGATACCTGTGCTGTGCCCATCTCAGGGCTACACTAGGCACGGCTTGTGTGGACGCCCGTCCTCCTGTCTGTTTTCGTAGAGAACGGGCTTACCCGTGGGTATCTGTGAGCTAGTTATTGTGTGCTCAGCATTACTGGAGATGGAGGATAAGCTGGTGAATGACACGGACGGTGTCGCTGTCCGCCCAGTTACGGCTCTGCTGTAGGATCGAGCAGGTAGATGAACGAGGGATCGTGTCTGAAGGGCTGGGGTGAGAAAGAGCAGGGCACTAACTACTAGAGGCATCATGGAATCCCAGAGGAGGGCGAGAGGGCGGTGGGTGTAATAAGCACTTGTAAGGCAGAGAAAGAGAAAGGACACAGGAAAAGGAAAGATCCTGTGTAGAGGTTTTGTGGTACAATATAAGAGTATATTATTATGAGGGTGAATGTTTAAAAAAATAACAAAAACAAAAAAAGGAGAGATTTTCATGTGGCTCCAAGTCCGCCAGCCAATCTGTGGGAATATGAATCAGGAAGCCGAGGAGGGAAAAGAAACACAAACTCCAGTCCGCATGACCAGACTCGGGAAGACAGAAGGAATGAGTGACGGGGAAGTCCATGCCACTTAAAAGGTCTGGCCTCACAGCGCTCTGCCAAGTGTGGTCTGTGGAGGGGAACTGGCATGCGGCAGAGTGCCAGAGACTCCGTGGTAAACAGGGCGCGGGGTGCGGAAGGGGCTGCATCTGCGATTCTGCGAGCAAGAACCCGGCCTGACCCAGGGAGCTCGGTAGATGGGAGGATTAACGCGAACAAAAGTTACTGAGGTACTGGCAGTGCTGGTAGATTGGACACGTTCGGGTGATCGGTATTCTGATGACACGGATCCGACGACCGTCTCGGGGAACGCGCGTGTTAGAACATCGCTGTGCCCTGCACATCCTACAGTTATTGCGTCAAAAGTTTTGGAAGATCTTAAAAAGCAAATATTACAAAATGTGGATGCTCCAGTTACTTACACTGAGTCATTTACGGGGGGAAATAACAAAGAAATCACTGGAGCTCGCTGCCAAAACAGAGCGCCGCAGGCTGGGTTCTGAGGTAAAGATCGTAAAGACTGATACTCAAGTACATTTTTTGGCCCCAGAAGCTTCTCCCAAACGGAAATGTGACATGTGGCCCACACATTGGTCGTAGGGACCCCTGGAGTCACGGGGACCACTGGAGTCAGGCTGTGTCAGGGGACCTGGGATTCTTTGACATTTGATAAATTGAAAAAGTCAGATCTAAAAATGTGTGTTTCTAGCTGGGCACGGTGGCGTCTGCCTGTAATCCCAGCACTTGGGAGGCTGAGGCAGCAGGATCGCTGTGAGTTCGAGACCAGCTTGGGCTACGTAGAGAGTTCCAGGTCAGTCTCAACTACATAGTGAGATCCTGTCTCAAAAAACAAAAAATCAAATAAAATGTGTGTTTCTCACTGCAAAGATGACTTCACTTCTTTATTGGATGAAACCATGAAACTAGGGAGACCAGGTAGTTTTTAAAAATTTGAGGGGAGGGCGTCAGTCTAGGATCTCAGTTGCATTGTAGGACGTTGTTAAAACCACTGTATTTTTTTCTTATGCCCAGTAATGACTGAATAAAAGCAAATTAGATAATAACATATGTTTGTGCTCCAGCTCTGTTCCCAAAACTGCAGTTCTGTCAATAGTTTGGGAGCTGAAAGCCCAAAGTTCTCAAGTGAACCAAGTCTGTGTACACAGAGCAGAAGGGTGGGTGGAGACACAGAAGTCCCACTGGGAAACAGCTCAGAAGAAAGTGAATCTTAAGGTGTCTTGGCAGTCTTGCGCCTCCTGTCCCTTTCCTCCTCTTGCCTCATGCCTCTGTGACCATTTTATTTGTCATGAACTTTGAGTATGAAATGGGGGTATTAATTATGCCGGGGCCATGGGTTCAGACTGGGATGTGTTGTTGCCCTGGCTGTATTTCCTGTGCCCTGTGAAGGACAGCACTGGGGCCATGTCACCCTCACGTGTGACTTTGGTCGCCCTCTGCTCCTGGTCACACCCACAGACAGCTCCGACACAGGAGACCACGTCCTGAGTCGGTTGTTAACGTTCTGTTCTTCCCCTCTGGGCTGCAGTTTTCTGAGGTGAGATCTCCCTGCCTTACCGTCTTGCTCTCTGCCTCCACTGCAGCTCAGAACCTGGCACAAAGTTCTCAAGAAGGTGGTAGTGGACAAATCGAGGAAGAGATGAGGGGCAGGATTGGTGAAGGAGATGGGAAAGGTTTCTGCCGGAGGAGAGGAAAGAGTGCAGAGGGCGAGCAGCCAGCGGTGCGGGAGAGCAGGATGCTGTCGAGGAGCAGCCCCTGGGGAAGGCGCCACACCGAGGAAGCCGGGAGAAGAGGGGCCTGTGGGGAGGGAGAGCAGAGCGGGCCACTCACGGCCTTGCTCTGTGCCACTCGGCGGAGGGTTTTTGCATGTGAAGCTTGGTTGCTGTTTTGTTCCTTATTCAATCCAAGGGCGGCCGGGCTTGCATTTGAGTCTGGAGAAATGTGCTCAGTAAGCATTAAAACTTGCGTGGTAAAAGGAGAAGAGCTTCTCAAAAAATTCTGACACTCCTGCTTCCAGCTGAAACCAGGAAATTCAGAGGAACCAGAAATGAAAACAAGGAAAACGTTCATGGACGTTTCGAACCTAGAAAAGGTTTGGTTCGAGTCCTGAAGGAGGGTCTGGGCTGCTTGACGCCTCCAAGAGCTACTGTAACGACGGGCTGGCTTCTAATTGATTCCTTAGATTTAACTTACTCCCTGTCGCCACGTTCCATTCTAATTCCTCGGGGTGGGCCCCCCAATTTGGCAATTTCCCGCAATGCCGAGGAAGCGAGCTCCCCAGGCCGGCTGGTGTCGCCAGAGTGGGGCCACGCTGCCCCGGCCTGGTCAGCAGCTCCGCATGAGAGGGCCCTGCAAAGCATTCTGTGAAATGTCTTCTCCATTACTTACATAGAATGGTAACACTTTAATTAAAGCAACATGTATATGTAATTTAATAAGACATTGCCAGAGCTGGGTTTTTTCCCCCTAATACAAATAATAGTTTCAACAGTTTTGACCACTTAGGAAATCCTGAGTCACCTAAACTACAGTCTGGAAATATTTTGAACTGTAGGGACCCCAATTTTTAAGAAGTTTTAGCTTATATTGGCATGAAGGTCTGCATACTGACTTCTTCCTCAAAGAGTAAAATTTCAGACCTTTCCTCTCCGCTGAGAGGAGAGCTTTCCCCTGGCCGATCTAGCTCTGTATTTGGGGTCTAACTGGGTCCTTCAGTAAGCGAGGGACTTCTCTGCTGTAGACTTGAGTGTCTCCACTGAGGTTGTTTTCTATACATGTTCTTTGAGCTCCTGCTAAAGGCGTGGACCGCCATGAGGCAAAGCTGCTTACTCACCGCTCACTTTGTAGGCTGAAATAAAGCATATTTAAGCTGACATTTGCAAATAATGGTAAGAGGGAGACTTCTTCTTAATTAAATCATCAGTTTCCCTGACACACCTCCTCACGGGTCAAACGATTTAATTCTCCAAAAATCCAATCCTATCGGTTTTTCATTCAGCTGAATCATTCCACAATTTGTTACATGTTTTCTTTCCACACAGATGTAAAATTCCTTCCCCTGAAAGAGCATTAATGTAAGTATGGCAGTTACAATACAGCTTGGAGAACTGTGAGTTTGACCTGTGCATATGTAGGTGGTCAGATTTACCACCCAAGTGCTAGGAAAACTAACTGGATTAAATTAAGGAGAAGGTGTTATGTTATTATTAAGTGAGCTAGCGAAGTTTAGACAACCTGATGCTTCCAGGATTCTTTTAGCATTTGATGTAAAACTGAATATGCATTTAGCACAGTTATTATCATTTTTTTCTTTCCTAGAGCGACATCTCCTCTACGGACGACCTGCAGTGCTTTACCGGACAAGATACGATGTCTTGTATCACACGGACTTCGAAAGCGGTTACAGTGAGATATCCCTGATGCCGCTGTGGACTTCGTACACCGTTTCCAAGCAGGTTGTTGAGAGAACAGGGCTCCATGTTCTTCATTTCATTGTATTCCTTACAGTCGTACAGTGGTTGCTTGCTTAACCGAACTTTATCTTAGAAAATAAATTTTGATTTTTCCCGATTGAAGAAATTCTGTCAGGCCTGTTATAAGACATTTAGAATATTTATTAGGTGTTTCACTAGTACCATGGTAATATGTTATATATTGAAGGCTGCATACTAATTCTTTTCATTTTTACACCCTGCTTAAGTTGTTACAGGATAGTTACTGAAGCCACCATTTGTTTATTTGTTTGTTTGAGACAGGGTCTGTCTATGTAGCTCAGGCTGGCCTGGAACTCATGGTGATCCTCCTGCCTCAGCCTCCCGAGTGCTGAGATTATAGGCATGTACCACCATGCCCAGGTGGTTTGTTTGTTTTAATAAACTATTCTTAGAGCAGTTTTCAGCTAGCTGTGAAATTTAGTGGAAAGTACCGGGAATTTTGAAGTACTCCCTGACACCCCTTGAACTCTCCCTGTTTGTATTTTAGTTTTGTGTTGAGCTTTCAGTTTGATGAAGCTGAGATAAGTAGCTGTATATCAGGAATTAGAAGAATTTATTTGACAATTCAGGATTTTTAAAATTTCTGAATATAAATGAAGAAAATACTTCTACTGCCCCCAGACAGCTCCTCATTAATGTGTACTATGTACACGTGTGTGTGATTGTGTTCATTTTATGTGTTTTTGTAGACAGAAAGCACACACGTGGACATGCATCTTTTGTGGGTCCCTATCCGTTATTTCAGCAGTGCGGTTGCTGCTTTATAAATTGTTTTACTTCAGACTTCGAAATGACTTGTTTATTGTACTGAAGACTAACTGTGACTTTATAGAAAGTGTCAGAGTCCCAGTGACAGAGGTAGGGCGTGGACTGGGCTGTTCGGGACGGAGCGGCCCGGCGTCCCTGTCGCCGTGCCCGTGTCTGTGCCCGTGCCCGTGTCTGTGCCCGTCCCTGTGTCTGTGGTGCTGTGGCTCACTGGCCCCGACCCCCGTGCAGGCTGAAGTCTCCCTTATCCCCGAGCACCTGGCCGGCTGTGTCCGCCCCGACGTCCGTGTCTCCCCAGGCTTTAGTCAGAGCTGCCTGGCCTACAAGAAGGACGAGCAGATGTCCTACGGCTTCCTCTTCCCGCCCTGTAAGTCACCGGGGGCCTGGGGCTCCTCCCCGGGCACCGTCCTGGGCCTTTGAGGGGGAGACACTCAGCGGCTCGGGTTGTCTCCGGGAGAGGCACTCGTAACCTTGCAGAGGCAACTTCCACGAGGTCCTTCCGAAGCTGACCAAAAAGGGGCAGCTTCCAAACATGTGGTTCTGCAGGGGATTCTAAAATGCAGGGGAATCTTTCAGGCCCTGCTCTCAGCCTTAATGAGACTCCGAAAGCGAAATAGTCACTGAGACATTGCCTTTGGAGCCCTAAACTAGTGCTTCTTTTCGTGATGATGCGTTTTAAAGCGGAGTTGTACCGAGGGGAAAAGGGATTGTTTCACAGGGTACTTCGTGGACTCGAGACCTAGGTAGGAGGAAAGGCATTGTAAGCAGTTTCTGAGAGAGGGCTGTAGAGGGGAGAGGAGGGGAGGGTGCGGGGAAGCAGGAACTGTTGAGAGGGGCAGGGAGGAGGAGTGAAAGAATAGATCGGGGCCATTCTGGAACACGGATTTCTGTGGACGGAGATTCTGCTGAGCGATGAACATTGCTTGTCTTCCTAATGCTTAGATCTGAGCTCTTCGCCAGAAGCTAAATATGATGCATTCCTCGTGACCAACATGGTGCCAATGTACCCTGCTTTTAAACGTAAGTTCAATATTTACCTAATAAACTGGGATGTGTGGAAATAAATGTGTCTAAATTTACCACTGACCTCTTCTACTTCTACTTCTATATCAATTTTAATGATAATAACACCTTTGGAGTGTTTGGCTTTACGCTGTTTGTAAGAGCATTCACGGAAATTCTGTACCATTAACCCCAAAGTTGAATCTGCGAGGGAAGTTGGCAGATGGTTTGTCCCTTTTTATAATTAAGAAACTGAGATTAGAAGAAGTGGCCTCGGTCACGAGTGGCAGAAGCTGAGGTAGACCACGTTTGTGCTTTTCTTCTAACTCGCAATTCTATGTTAATGCTGTTTCCACTGTTTAAAAGGGCCGTCACCGAGTCTGGGGGTCACTGGTCACATAATGTCTGTATTTTTCCATTGAAAGCCACTAACCCCACTCTCTTTTGGGGTGTTCAGGTATTCTGGATGTTGGCGCTGAAATCTGGTTTTCTCATCCATGAGAATATTGTTAGATGACTTTAGGACTGTGAGAATTATTATTTATTCTCTTTGAATACATGATTTATTTATATATGACATAAATGTGTTTGTGCCATGCTATAAATTGTGCAACCACAATCAGCTCTTGCCCAAAAAACGAAGTTCTAGTTCTTCGAATCCTGACTGTTGTCTGTGTAATCATGAAAATGCCATTTACCCTCTCATTCGTAAAATGAAGGGGTTTTTATGGCATGACCTCTAAGGTTTACATGGATTTGTGACTTAATTGTCCAGTGACTGGAACAATACATTTTCTATTTCTCATAATAAAAATTCACTCACCCACCCATCCGCCCATCCACCCATCCGTGTATCCAGAGATAGAGAAGGCTTTTCTGGAATAACCCTTCCCTCCTTTTAGTTCCTTTTCACTGCAAAGGCCTCTGTGTTGTGGCACAGGACAGAGAAGGAAGCGCTTTTCCCTAACCTGGCATGGCAGAGAGGGCTGGGCTGGCGTCTCAGAACAGGAACGAGTGAGTCCCAACTGTCAGTGACACTTAAGCCTCCCCAGCTTAATCTTGGTGAGATGACGCACATGGTTTAGAGGCAGAAAGTGTTTATTTGGTGTCCTAGTTAGTGAATTTATCGCAGTGTTCTGCAGAATGCAGCTTCATTTAATTGCCACCAATCAGGGTTTCCCGAACCTCTCTATTCTTTGTTGATGTGTTTTCTGACCAACCCGTAATGAAGGACCCACATGGTACCACCCCGAGGCTGGTGTGGAAAAGGCCTTTCACAGAGAGCCTGCTGTTCTCTGCTGGGGAATGGTTTTTTCACATGCCACATTTCTGTGGGTTTGGCCTTTTGACTTTTGTCATCCATTGTTGTCCCCCACCACCTCCTAAGTTAACATTCCATCTTCCCCCTCACTGCCTCACTGTAATTTCTGTAGTGCAGATACCCAGGGTGCCTTGTCTCTGGCAGGCTCCTTTGCTGTTCTTGTTCAGAGTAGAGATCAGAAGATACAGAGCTCCGTGGAAGCGCTGCAGGGAAAGGGCCAAGTGCTCTTAAGGAGGGCTGGAGGGAAGTGGGTGCAGCCGGAGCCTCACGCCCCCTGGGGGTGGACCTAGTACCCGAGAGCTGACTTCCCTGCCTGCCTTTCTGCTGTGCCTCCTTTTGTCCTCTCTCCTGTGCCCCTCCTCTGGTGCTCCACTAGTTGGGCTTTCTTCATACCCTGAGGCGAGGGTATGTGAGGAAGTCCTCGGGAGATGCTGAAAGTGAGGGAAAACCAGACATTCACAGACCAGGAGATGAGTTTTCTAGGTAAAGGAAGGGAGAATGCAAGAGCTTGGGCTGGAACAAGTTTGGCCAGGCCGGGGGAGGGGGTGGCGAAGGATAGGGAGCAAAATCAGAGGAGCAGTGACGGCCATGAGTGGGATTAGAGGTTTTAACTACAGCTTGGGTGAGAAGTCACGTGGGATGGTAGAAATGTGAGCGCACGCGTGTGTGCTGCGATTTATGGTGTAAGAGAATCCGCTGGTCTACGCCATGGAGAACGACACGGGACCGCCTAAGGTAAGCGTTTCCCTGGGGGAGCCAGGAAGCGGTCTTCTGTGTGCTTCCTGTCCGGCAGGGCGGTGTCTCAGGACGGGACGGCAGCAGACCTGGGGTGCGGGGAGATGTGCAGACAGCGCTGACTGCGCCTGCACCACACGTGGAGGGGAGTCAGGACCAAGGCCTGGGCTGTCCACACCCCGATTTCTTGGCCTCGGCTACACCCCCTGCGAGTGGCTCCCAGCTCCGAGTCTTCCCTTTGCTGGTTCAGAAACGACGCACACGACAGTGCTTCAGAACAGATTCTTTTCACGACTCACCAAAGCCCTGTTGGCCCTGGCGCTGTGACGATCGGCCCGTACAGCACGTCTTTGAGAGAATCTGGCTGAAGCCAGTTTCTTCCTGACGGGTTGGTTTTGTCTTTGTCCAGGAATATGGAATTATTTTCAGAGAGTGCTGGTGAAGAAATACGCTTCTGAGAGAAACGGAGTCAATGTGATCAGCGGGCCAGTTTTTGACTACGACTTTGACGGTCTACATGACACGGAGGAGAAGATCAAGCAGTAAGCGTCCCGCGTCCGTTCGGTGAATGACGTTTAAATTCCAAGGCGTCCGTCCTGCAGAGCTTTTAGAACAACATTCCTGCGCTAAAGAAAAGTTGATATCTCTTAGATCCTTTATTCTTTAAATAGCTTTTTAAATTCTTCGCTTCTCTGATTGAGTCTTTGATTACACACGGAATTGGCGATTGGAATGGAATTTTGAACTTCATGGTAATTGCAATTTTCCATTCCATGAAAGAAAATGTATCAAACTATTTAAAAATCTGTCATTTATTCTTCAACAATTCTTTGATAGGAAAGATGATGTTTTCCACCGAACTTCTCTGTCTGGCGAGATGTTTTAGACTCTTCTGTATTTTCTGAGCCAGTCTCCCTCATTAGGAAATGCACGGCTTGAGTCTGAGGGTTTCTGTCTCTCTCCTTGGTGCTAATGGGAGTAGAAATGAATAAGGCAAACAATGGCTCACAAAGAACTCATAGTTTATGGAGAAGGCAAGAAGATATGTACACAACAAACCAGAGGAAATTGGGCTTTAATTTTCTCTGCATGAAACAGAGAACAGCACAGAATGCAAGGGATGGTTTAATTGTGATTTGCAGACGTGTACTAAGAGAGTAAAATGCTATTTAGAAAAAGATAACCAATAAAATACATTCTGCTGTACTGGGAAGGGTGTTTTATGTCACTGAGATCTTCCCTAGAACTCAGTCCTTAGCACTTTGTTTGGCAAGTGAGTGCCTGGAACCAAGTTCAGGACCTCACTGCAGCTTGCGAAGGCTGTTGTTCCCCTAGATCCAGGCTCTCCTCACTCTGGTCCCTTTTCTACACCTCCGTGAAAGTTGTCTTCCCGAAACGTGGGTCTCACCGTGGCACTCCTTATCGGAAACTTTAACTCGAGCGTCCCGCCTTCGCGGTGGTGCCAGAGCCCCACACCGGAGCTCAGGACGCCGAAGGCATCTTCGATTCCCCTCCACCCTCTCATGTCTCTGGCTTCGATTTCCCACTGTCTCACCTCCAGCTCTTGGACCACGCCATTGATTTGCCTGGAATCTCTCTCTCCCCTGCCAGGTGGAGGAAGGCAGTGGGTTCCAGGCCGAGAGAACATCATGGTCAGAGAGATAAGGGGCTGGTGCCGAGCCGCAGGGGAGTGCAGGACCGATGGAGAGGATGAGCTGGGCCCCTGGTCGCCACTGCGACCGGCAAGCGCCCTGTTTGCTGCAGTTCCCTTTCACCTCCCATTCCAGGTTCGTGGGGGGCAGCTCCATCCCGGTGCCAACTCACTACTACAGCATCCTCACCAGCTGTCTGGACTTCACTCAGCCGGCTGACAAGTGCGACGGCCCCCTGTCCGTGTCCGCTTTCATCCTCCCGCACCGCCCCGACAACGACGAGAGCTGCAACGTGAGTGCCGGGCGCCCCACTAGTGCCCCTCTGCGAGACCGTGTAGCCTCGCTGCGTGCAGACTCGCCCTCCAGGCAGCGTTTGGGAGATGCGGCAACGCGACGCTGCAGGAGGGGCGCAGGGCCTCGTGTTCCGCCCCTTTCCGGCCTAGTGGGGGACACAGGGTGCTGATGGGGGGTCCCTGGGGAGAAGGGAACCGTGAGCTCAGCCCTGCACTGGCCCAGCACCCAGGCCCCGGGCGTGGAGCCGTCTACGCGTCTTAAGGAGACGAGTCTGAGTTTGGAGGCGACGTCTCCCCACATCTCTCGGCTTCTCTGTCACGTGCCAGAGGGGCAGGGAAGCAGCTGCAGACACAGGGTGGGCCGGGGAGGGGCTGTCCTGGGAGAGCAGCTTCACCACAGCCAGCGCTCTGTGCTCTGTGCAGCTCTTGGGCTGTGAGACCCCAAGCAAAATGAAGGATTCAGGGAAGCTACTTAGGTGTGTTGAGAATATTGGCACTGGGTGGGAGATAACACTTTGAACGTTGCTTGGAATCGGATTTTAAAAGAGGCATTAGTAGTGTTAAGTTTATATCGTGTACAGGCTGTAATCCAAGCACTGCGTAGGACCCTACGTGTTATCAATCACAGCGCTTCTAATCAGCTCATCTCCCGGTCGGGCACAGCTCTCTGTCTCTGTCCTCCCCATATCTGTTTATCTAGCTAAATTGCTAAGTCTGGGCTTGAACTTGCAATCCTCCTGCCTCAGCCTCCCAGAGTGCTGAAATTATAGGTGTGTACCGCCACACCTGGCTATTTTTATAATTTTTCCTTCCTACCTTGCTGCACACTAATGTTTATTATGATTTTATTAGTTTTTCATCTTCATCAGTCTCCACTGACTGTGCCTCCTGTGGATGGACAGCCAAAGTCCTGACAACAGATTTCCCTCATGTACACTGCCTGCATTTCCTAGGGACAAATCAGAGATCGTATTTTAGCATTTGAGAACCAGAAGAAAATGCCCCTCTGGTGAAACTGGCAAACTGCTTCCCAAAGAAAGATGTAGGAAAAGGCAGATTTTCATCCTGTGAATTCTTACAATCCCAGCTTGCCGAGATTTAAATTAGGAAAATTCTTTTCATTGCTGACCACATATTCATTCACAAAGGAAAGCTCGGATGGGCTGACCATTGAAAAAAAAATCCAACAAATGAGCTGAATGCGAAAACTCTCCCCAAACCCAACCCCTTGCCTGCTGTGCTGCTCTGAGGTCTCCTGTCCCATCTGGAGACCTCCTACTTGGTTAATTACATGGTCACACTGAGGACAGGTCAGTACCTTATGGCAGGGTTCTATTTAGGTCTGTCCTGGGACTTGCAGAGATCGTGGTTGGGCTGGGTTCTACCGGTTCCCACCTCTGCCCTGGGTGGCCAGGCCTCGCTTCTTGAAGCAGCACCCACACGGGGTGTGTTCAGCGTGTCCCAAACTGCTGCACACCCTGTCCAGGTCTGTGTGGGCTGTGGCTTTCTGAGAAGATTTCACAGGTCCTGGGGCTTCAGCGGGTAGGTTTGCTGAAGCCACGCATGACTGAGGGTTGGGCTGGGGCCAACAGCCTCAGCTCTGGGCCACGCAGTGCACTCTGATTTCTAGAAAGCAAATCCAGAGTGCAGTCGGGGAAGGAAATGGCCTGGGAAGCCCAGCTACCCGTCTCTGCTATGGCGCACGGTGGCTCTTCCGGACCCACAGAGCTTTCCTGTGTTGTTCTTTTCCTCCCAGCTCCTCTCTAAAATGAAAGGATGCATTTTTGAGATGCAAAGGACAATTTCCCTGGAATTACCTTTCAGTCTCCAGTTAGACATGAAGCGAATTGTTTCTGTGGGACGTTTGCATTTCTTCCTCCTGCAAGCTGTGCCATGGAGACCATTCTGGGCAAACAGATAACTCCCCACTAAAGATTTCCTTCCATGGGTTTTCTGGACCTTATTTTTCTCTTCTTTCTTCCTCTCCTTTTGTCTCCTGCCCAAAGTGCCGCTGCACTAAACCTTATTAACCTTGAAATCCGTGAAGAACCCGGGCCTGAGAGGTCAGGGTGAGCAAGGCTCCCGCCAGCAAGTCTGGCTCCTGGGCGCCCACGGCCAAGTCCAGCGGCCGAGCGGAGGTCACTGCTCAGAGGCCGATACGCTGTGGTCTCGCGGAGAACGGGTTGACCCCGGGGAGCTTCTGAGGGGCCCGGGAGGCACAGGCTCTCCCTCTTCCCTGGGCGCATTGCAGATTGCAGCGATCCGGGCTCCAGAGAAACAAAGGACCGAGGCTCCCGCGGTCTCCGGTTCTCCTCATCCGCCCCCTCCTGTTTGCTGGTGAAATGGGCCCTGCGCATTCCCAAGGGCAGGCGTGCGGGCAGCGTCGGGCGGGCGCGGTGTGTGCAGGCCCAGGAGGTCCCTGCGCGAAGCCGGACTCTTCGCCTGGTTTCCGTTGCAGAGCGCGGAGGACGAGTCGAGGTGGGTGGAAGAGCTCGTGAAGATGCACACGGCTCGCGTGCGCGACGTCGAACAGCTCACCGGCCTGGATTTCTTCCGCAAGACCAGCCGCAGCTACCCGGAAATCCTGGCCCTCAAGACCTACCTGCACACGTATGAGAGCGAGATTTAGCGTCCCGATCGCGCCGTGCAGCCGTATCACCTGGTGTATATTTTTATATTGTGTATTTATTAATTTGAACCAAGACATTAAAAAAGACTTAGTATTTTAATCCTGTACCCAATCTGACATATTTACCCTGAATGACTCCACTGTCTTTCTCTAGCGCTTGCTTTAGGTTGCTGTGTTCCAGGTAGAGCTTGTAATAAATACTGCAGCTCAAGTTTGTAGTGGAAGCTTCTGACTGGTGCTGCAGAGTGAATAGTTGCATTGAGGAAATATTAATTTTCCAGTGCACAGTTGCCACAGTGAGTCCTGTACTGTATCGAAATACTGATTTTGTAAAGTCGCATTCATTTGCTGTTAACTATGACAGATGTATTTAAGCCTTATAGACCAATCTTAAATATAATAAATCACACATTCAGTTTTTTTTTGGGTTTGAGTTTTATTTCACTTAGAAATTAAAGGGCTTGTTCAGGTACAATCATGCACAGAAGGGACACATTTCTGGCGGAGGAGGTGTGTGTGTGTGTGTGTGTGTGTGTGTGTGTGTGTGTATACTGGGGATCGAACTCGGGACCTTGTGCTTGTGAGGCAGGTGGTGGCACCACGGAGCTAAATCCCCGGCCCTGGAACACATTTGTTTCATTGGTTCTCTCCAGTTGTTTCCTTGATATTTAACTGCGGTGACCTGGAGGAGGTGGTTTGGGTTTGTATCTTTGGGAAACCAGAAGGGCAGAAAGAGAAAACAACAAAACCAAACTCCTGAAATCCTCTCCCAACCTGTCTACTTTTGAAAATATTTTGGAAGAATTGTCTCTTTTGATCATGTTGGTTTGAAAGTCTAAGTATTAGACTCAACTTAGACTGCATTCATACATTCTGCCCAAGATATCGACCACAGAACCCTGGAAGTCAGAACAGGAGCTAAGACAGCTGAGCTGTGGTGTAAACACAGGCATGTAGTTCAGAAGTCAAGAGAATGATAAATGCTAAGTGAAAAGGGTCATAAATGTACGATCCAACTGAAGGATCTGATGTTATTGGGCAGTGGTTGTAGAATTACTTAGTTATCACTTCAAATAGTAATGATGGTTGGAGAAATGTCCATCCTTCTGTTGTGGCGAAAGACTATAGTTGTCATTTTAGTATTGTCTCTAATCCATTAGTGTCATAGTCTTTTTTTTTTTTAACTATTAGTATGTGTTTGCAGTATAAAGTTTACATTTCCTGTGTGGAGTTGGTACGTGTACATAACACACCTTATTACTTTTTACTTTGCTTTCTGTAAATTTTCCTTTAGCATTACACCAATTTAAGAAGGAAAACATCGTGTAAAAAAAAATCACTATATCAAAAATAAGATGGTACTGGGAATATGGGGAAAATCACAAAAGTGGTAAAAGAAAGATAGGTAAGAAATTCGGCGCCAAGCACCTACTATGCTCCAGCCGTGTCTGGGGCACTTTCTATGTTTGTTTCTAAACACCGGAGAGTGGGAAGCACAGAAAGGCTTGATGGAGGGGGAAAATGGGGATGTAAGCAGGAGGAATGCTTGAATTGGGCTTTGGAGTTTGAGGTAGAGTGTAAGTAAGATAGAAATAAATTGGGTTGTGCTCCATTATTGACTCGATGTTCTGCAGTAGTTCATTGAACATCTACTACATGCCAGGAGGTATATTTGCTACTGGGGATAAAACAGTGAAAAACAATAAATGTGGGCCCTGGTCTCAGCACTTACTCATCTTTGAGAGAACAAGATGCTATTAAGATGTTCTAAAGTTTAGTGAGATGTGTGTTGTCAGAGTCTAACAGATGGCGTGGGAGGGGTGGGTGCGAAGTGAAAGCGGGTGCAGATGACGTCCCAGCCAAGACTGGCCATGAAAGGAGCCAGCATCAGCAAAGGGACTGAGGGCCATCAGTGGTTAGGGAGGATCTGAGGGCAAGCAGTTGTCCCAAACACAGTGGCAAGGCCAGTAGGGACCAGCTCAAGCCTCCTTTGTCCTGCTGACACTATTTCGGCCTTTGGAGTCCATCCCAAGTACCATGGGAGCTCATTGAAAAGTCTCAAGCAGGGTGGATAGGATGTGAGTAAGGAGCCCAGTACTCTGGCTGAGCACAGTGATGCACGCCTATCATCCCAGCACTCGGGAGGCTGAGGCAGGGGGATCGCCGAGAGTTTGTGGCCAGCCTGGATTGCACAGTGAGTTCAATGATACCCTAAACTATATAGCAAAACCCTGTCTCAAAAAAGCAAAACCAAGCAAACTGACCAACAGTAGCGCTGCAAGGCGAAGGGGCTAATTCTGTTTTTAAAAATAGTAATGAGCTCCATGCAAAGCTAAATTTCTGTATCACCTCAGGCTGAACTCCTCAAAATAGGTTATACCCGAGGCTTTTGGGGAGAAGAGCAGCAAATTCAGTTGAGTGCTGCTGCTTTATTTTTATCCTCAGGCCAAGTCTTTCTTTCTCATAAATAAACTTCAGACAGGGAGAGAACAGCAACCACTGAGTATTTCAGGTAAGTGGCTTGGCTGGTAAACACGTCCTTAATTGTGGGGCTATTATGACAGTCCCTGAACGGACAGGGAATCGGTTAAAATGAGGTGCAGAAGGCCATTTTCATACTGCGACCTAGGTCTGTGCATGCTTTCGCTGAGTGAGCTGCCGCTCTCGCTAGCCCAGTGGCCCAGTTCCGGTGGCCACGGTCAGAGTCTTCTCCAGAAAGAGCTCATTGTATGATATAGGCCAGGAAGACTGCCGCCTGGCTCCCCAGGGGTAAAACACGCTGCACTGTGTACGGGAGGCTTGGCTTTTGAGAAGTCTCTGAACAGAAGCAGGGTTGGGTGCTAAGTGTGTTTGTGAAATTCTGCCCAAGAGCTGCAGCCGTCCACTTCCGGCACCCATGATTCCTGTGGCTTTAGGGAGATGATAGGCCAAGATGGCCCCTGTTTGTACCCTGCTTCCTTCAAGTCTCCCATGCGGTCTCTCTGCTGAGTCAGGACCAGGCTGCCTTGTGGCTGTGAAGTGGGAGAGGCAGTGGGATTTCTCCCATGGCTTTGAAAGGATTGTTTGGGACAGGGATGAGAAAAGCTCACAGTTCAGAAGCTGGGGCGAGGAGCGCTGCTGGAGGTCCGGGCTGGGGTGGCAGTGGGGCCTTTGGGCTGTGTTCCTAGGAAGCTCACGTCCTCTTGACAGAGATGGCCGGTCCTGACTGAGATGCAGGAGCAGAAAATGTAAGCCTTCCTCCTCTTCCTCTTCTTCTTTTACTCTCCTCATCTCCTCTTCCTTTTTCTGAAACTGACACAAAGGAATGCACATACGTATAGGATACAGTGAGATATGCTTTTTCCCCAGAAAGTGTACTTAAGGAGCTTGCTACATAAAAGCAAGCACAGTATTTTATCAAGAATTCAAATCCACTCATGTCTACCTGGGAATGCTTTATGTTTTAAGCTTTATGGCTTGTGTCTAGGTGTCCCCCAAAAGCCTCATGCAGTCATAGGTGGGGCTCTTCAGTGGTGACGTGCTGGAATTAAGCATGTACGGTCCTGGATTAGTCCACCGATTGGGCTAGCATAGCCCTGGGTGTAGATGATGGGAAGCCCACCCGGCCCGGGTGGCACAACCCAAAAACGTGCAGCATGGATGCGATAAAACAGGAGGAAGGAAGGCCGTTGCTTCAGCGTTGCTGCCTGCTGCCCTGCCACGGGCTGTTTCTTATTGACCGTTTAACCCTGGCTCTGAGCCAGCTGACGATGACTGAAACCTCTAAAAACTGAGCCAAGAAATTCACTTCCTTTAACTTGTGGGTGTTGGTATTGTGTCTTAGCAATGAGAAAAGTAACCAAGACACAAACGAAAGTAAGAACATATTTATGCATATTTATAACACATGTAAATTCACAGGATTTTAGAGACTTATAGGCTAGAAGAATCATACATTTGTGATTTAAAACACACACACACACACACACACACACACACACGCACACGGAATACACCCATGAAACAATCCCTACCACCAAGCTAGTGAAACACACCCCACACCCAGACACCTATTTTGCCCTGCCTGCTTGTAACCTCTTTCGTCCCTACTCACGTCGGCCCTCCCTGCACCTCCCCCGTCCCCAGCCCTCCACTCCCCCCCCTGACCATTTGTCAGACGTTCTAGAGGGTGGGACCCACAGGGTGCTTCAGCCTGTACTGCCTCTCCCACTTGTTTCCCTTGGCACAGTTACCCTGAGGGGCACCGAGTGTGGTGCACGTAGCCCCTTACTCTAATTGAGTAATATTCGGTTATGCAGATACACGACATGTGCTTATTCATCTCTTGGTGGACCAATGATTATTTTCAGTTTTTGTTTTTTTAGCTTTTAAAACAAAAACCTGTTAGGAGCATGCATGCCCAAGTCTCCGTATGGACAGGAGCTTTCCTCTTTCTTTGTAAATACCTAGGTGTGGAGTTATTCGATTCCGTGACAGGTAAGATATATTTTAACTTTTAAAGTAACTGTCGAAGTTACTTTCCAAAAGTGATTGTTGTATTTCGCATTTCTCCACGTACTGTGTGAGGCTGCACCTTCTTCCTATCATAGGCAGCTCTTGGGATGGTGGCCTTAGTGTTAGCTATTCCAATAGACCAGTAGTGGTGTGTTACTGTTTTAGTTTGCACTCCCTAGTGCTACCAATGTTGGACATCTTCTCATGTGATTATTTGCTATTCTTACATTTTATTTAGGATGTGTCTGTTAAAATATTTTGGTCATTTAAAACATTGAGTTATTTTTTTTCCTTAGGATTTTTAAAAGTTTTTCTTACATTTTACATTCTAGTTCTCTAGTGTAGATTTGCAACAATTTTTTTTCCCAGTTTGAGCCTTACCTTTACATTCTCTGCAGTCTCTTTTGAAGATCTGAGTTTCAAAAAACTTTAATGAAGTCTAATTTATTAAATTATTCTTTGATAAATTATACAGTTGTTATAATATCTAAGAAATTTCTGCTTAAATTCAGATGACAACATTTTTCTTCTAAAAGTTTTAAAATTTTAGGCTTAACCTTAGGTTTATGACTCACTTCATATTAATTTTGTATGTGGTACAAGGTATGCATCCAAGGTTTTTTTTTTTTTTGGCACAAGAATATTGTTTTCTAGCACTATTTTTTTTGTTTGTTTTTTGAGACAGGGTCTCACTATGTAGTTGAGACTGACCCGGAACTCACTATGTAGCCCAGGTTGGTTGTGAACTCACAGCGATCCTCCTGCCTCACCCTCCCGAGTGCTGGGATTCTAGCACTATTTTTTTAAAAGTCTATTCACTTTATTTGCTGTATTGTTTTTCCACTTTCTTGGTTTCATAAATCAGCTGTGCAGGTAGAGACTTACTTCTAGAATCTCATTCCAATCTCTTCATCTATTTATCTACTTTTACACCAACACAGTACATTTTCGTGACTATAATTTTAAACTAATTTTAAAAATCAGGTGTCATTAGCCCTTCAATCTTGTTCTTTTTTTTTCAGTAAGTCAGTCTAGCTAGATTCTTTGTATTTCCATGTGAATTTGTGGAAACTGCCTAGTAGGATACTGCCTGGGAGTTGATTGGATGTATACATGTAATATTGGGTCTCCTGACCTATGAACAAATATGTCTCTATTTACACGAGTCAGCTTTTGTATGACTGACTTGTCTGTATCTTACTTTTTGAAGATATTTTCAGTGAATAAAGAATTCTAGGGTGACAATTACTTCTTTTGGTGACTCCAATATATTGCTTCATTGCCTTTTAGTGTGCCTGATGGGTTTGATTTTTTTGAGACAGTCTTGCTATATAGTCCAGGCTGGCATCAAACTCATGGCAATTGTCCTGTCTCAGCCTCCCTAGTGCTGGGATTATAGGTGTGCACCACCATAACCAGTTTACAGTGCACTTGGTAGAAACTGTAGTTATTAGCTTTGTTCTTTTCCCCTTGGCTGTTTCTCAGGTTTTCCATTTGTCAGTTTTTCTTTGTTTGTGGTGCTGTATTGGGGACCGGGCTATATAAAAAGTTATTGGGGGCCAAATTGTGTGACTTATACCCCTCAGTCCCAAGACCAATAAAACCTGCCTTGGGAAACAGAAAAGCACACTGTGTGCTTTTGGCTGTGTGGAGAATGTTCATAATCACGGTGCTGTCATGGCAAGATAACATCTATTGAAGACAACGTAAAGGATGCTACTCCTTATTGACATGGACAGGCATCAGGGAATAGAGAAAACCCGTTTCCTTTTCACACACTCCTCTTGTATAAGTTTAACCTGTTTCCTACTTTTCAAAATATATTTTCAATTGTTGTTGTTCCACGAATGACACACAGTCCCTTCCCCCCATACTTCTCCCTTGCTAAAAAAGTTGCTCAACTGCTGAGACTGCTGCGTCTGTCCACTAGAAGCAGACTCCTCTCAGTCCCCTTACACCTTGAATGGTCTTTCTGTTTCTCCTTATTTCCTGTTGTTCCTCCCTTGCAGCTATCTGAGGGTCTGATCAGCCCCTGGCAGTGCTGGGCATCAAACCTAGGCCCTTGTACACACTAGGCATGTAGTCCACCACTGAACTACATCTCCCACCATATTTTGGTCAAAGTTTTAAGCAATTTCATTTTGATGTGCCTCAATTTATTTTTTTTTCATGTTTCTTGCCCCAGGGATGTGCAAATTCATAGTTTTCATCAAAGAGAAAATGTAAGCTCCTTAGCTCCTCCAAATATTAATTTGGATGACTTCAGATATTCACCTACATATTTAGTGTTGGTTTTATTTGTTTTTGTTTTTTGAGACAGGGTCTCACTATGTAGTTGATACTGACCTGAACTCACTATGTAGCCCAGGCTGGTCTTGAACTCACACCGATCCTCCTGCCTCAGCCTCCCAAGTGCTGGGATTACAGGCATGCACCACCACGCCCTGCTCATATTTGGCCTAGGTTCCACTGTTAATTTATATTGGAATTTTTTCTTTGTGAATTTCATTTCAGATTGTTTCTATTGCTATTCTAAAGTTCACCCATCTTTTTATTTTAATTTCATGTAGTACTTTTCATCTCACAATTCATAATTTTTGTCTATCAAAATTCAGCTGGAATCTTTTTATATCTTCCATGACTTTACTTAACATCTTTTATCTTTTTTTTTAGCTTTCTGAACATACAGAATATAGTTATAATAATAATTTTAACATCTGAGTTTATGAACTCTTAATTATCTATAACATGTCTAGGTCAGTTTTAATTGACTATTGTTCTGTTTGTTATGGGCTCCTTACCTGTTAATTGTTTATTATATGTCAGACATTGCAATTTTCAACTTTTCTATATACTGGATTTGTGCATTCCTTCAAGCTGGGTGTGGTTGCTCATAGCTGTTCCCCCAGCACTTGGAAGGCTGAGGGAGAAGGACCTTCATCAGTGTGAGGCCAGCCTGGGCTGCATACTCAGATCCTGTCTCAAACATATGTAGTTCTTGAGCTTTACCCTATGAGTTACTTCTTTGGAAGGGAAAAGCTTTCTTGGAAAAATTTCTCAGGAAATAAAAAGCCTCGTGTTTGCTTTTAAACTTTGTTTTGTGTGAAGATAGCTGCTTTCCCCGAGGCTAGAGCTGCATGCAGCCTGTTCTTCTGGCCTCTGAATGCTCTAAATGAAGATGGCATCTGGGGAGTTTTGCATCCTGTCTGTTGGGAACCGGCCACATTCTAGATCCTGGGTGTCCCAGGCACCGTCCTTGTGATTCTTAGGTGATGCTTTCCCTGGCAGTCTGGGCAGATTTCTTGTTGCTGATGAGTGCTCACCTGAGCACCGAGGGAGCCTGCTGCTGCCTTCTGGAATGCCTCCATGCCTCTCTTGTCCCTGGGACTCCGCGCAGGCCCCCATCTTGCCATCTCTGGAGTCCAGACTCCATCTCCCCAGTCCTAGGAGATGAGAGACTGCACCTGAACTGTCCCTGCTCCCTGGCTACATAACTGCTTCTGGTGGTGATCCTGGGTGCTCACAGGGCCATCTTACTGGTTTCTGACCTCTCAGGAATCACCACCCTTTGCTGCCTGATGTCCAGTGTCCTGAGTGTCATTGTTTCAGAGGTTTTATTCGGCTTTTTCATTGTTTCGGGTGGCAGAGCAACCCTGGCCTCTCCTTCCAGCTTTATCAGAAGTGGAAGTGGTGCTCTGGATCTCTGAAGGCTGGGATTTACTCATCTTTGTGTTCTCCGCTCCCCCGAGCTCTGCACCTTCACATCAGGTAGTGAATGAGTCTTTGCAAACTTGAACTCATTTAGTGTTAAATCTAATTAACATTTAATTTCAGGCTGGGGATTTAGCTCAGCGGTTCCACCGCCTGCCTTGCAAGCGCAAGGACCTGAGTTCGAGCCCCGGTACAAAACAAAACAAAACAAAACCCATTTAATTTCATGAGTAAGACTGAGATAGGCACTGCAAACATACAATGCTACAAATGGTTTTAAGTTTAAAAACCCTCATTGCATAGCGAGTCACGAATACACACACACACACACACACACACACACACACACATTAAATACATTTGCTGTGTGAAATACATTTAGTGAGAATGGAAAGGAAGAATAACTACACTTTGATGTGGAAACTGAGATCCAACCAGCAAGAGCAATCCGCCGAGTCACGGCCAGCGACCCTGAATACACGATTCCCTCTCTCCTCACAGCAGTTCTGAGGCTCACACTAACTCTTGTTTTAGAGGTGAAAACATTTGGTGTCACTGAGGCAAATTTAACTGTTCAGGTTTACAAAAGTCAGGGTTAGAAAGATAGCGCATGACTCTGACTCCCAGACATGCACCGTACTCCTCGCCAAGCCACCCCGCAGGGAGGAGCAGTAGATCCGAAGAGGCCTGAGAAGTAAGGGCGTGTGAGCCAGGGAGCTACTTGAGGGAGCAGGAAATCTCGTCCCTGGGGAAAATGAAAGAATCCAGCTGCGGCGAACACTTGCGAGAACTGGCGTTTGGAGAGGGAATAATACACACAGGGGCTGGACATTATTTCTTTCTTTGTCCCTTTTTTTTTTTTTTTTGGAGTTGTTTCTGCATCTTTTTTCCCCCCTATTAAGTTTATTGCTACATTTAAAGCAAACGATGCAGTGACATTCATTTGTGGGATCTTGTACCTTTACATGGTGTGTCTTGGTTCTTGGTTTTTCCCCCATACCCTGTCCTCCCTTCACCCCGCACCACCCTTCCCTGGGGAAACTGTTTTCACATAGCATAGTCACGTTGGGTTGAGAACGGGGCTGTCGGCCATCAGTCAGCCTGGTACAGCTGAGTTCAAATAACAGAGGGATTTGCTGAAAGAGTTAAAGCTTCGTTCCGACGGCACTGGGCTGCTCCTAAATACGGTAATGCTGGAGACTTGGTGGGTCAGGGTTATGTTGCGGAAAGGACCACCAACCTTCGAAGCACAGCATACTCCGGGTCTGGTAAAGGATCTTACCATCACTGAGCACAAGGGTAAAGGTCCAACCAAGTCAGCAGCACTGGGGATGGAAAGGAGGGACGTGCTGCCAGAAAACAGGAGACTCACCGATGGACAGTGGCAGCTGGAAGACAATGGGGCCACTGGCCCAGACTTCTGGGTGGAAGAAGGCAGGGTAACAGGGAGAATAGGCCACAGGGGGAATCAGTCAGGATGGGTGGACTTGAAGCCCAAACAGGTCAGACTGATGAAGAGGGGCAGGCGGCAGGTGCAGGAGGAGCGAGCGAAGGGGAAAGCACCATGCACCTCCCAGGTAAGTGACACGGACGGGCGACACTGACCTCAGAAAGGACACAGCATTGGAAAACTGTAGGGAGGGGAGAGCATCAGCGCTTCACGGCAGAGGCAAGGAAATAAACACAGGCAGGCAGTGACTCAGGGATTTAACTACAGAAATCTGTAGTTAAATGATCATGGGTGACTTTCTGTCTAAATTTTGTCCTATGAAATAATGATAATTCCCATTTCTCAAAATTGGCATAAAACTATGAGGGTAGACTTCATTCAAACATAAACCGGCAAAATTTTCATTGCATTTGTTTTTATCTCCACTTCCCGCCAAAGAAGGCATGACTCTCTTTTTCGTTTACTTTGATCTTTTTCCATCAGAAAAGGAGAGGGGATCAGAAATAACTTGAAATAAGCAAATTTTCTGCCTTTGGGAAGCCTAACCCTACTCATGAGGTGAAAAGAAAAGGTGCTTAAGGTGCCCCAGACTGAGGGTGCTTTTCCTGGAGAGGAGTCTGGAGATTCAAACAGGTGGTTTGGTCCAGGTCTGCTCCATGCTTGTTTTGGGGAGGTAGAACCTCAGGTCCTAGGGCTCGGGAAGGAGAAGACTCAAGGCACCCAGATGTGACCAGAGGCAGAGTGCAAGTTCCACACAGCGTCCACTTCCCGGCACCCTCCCTCCACCAGATTCTAGTCAGGCCAGGTGAGAGGTTGGAGCCGTCTCAATAAAGCTATATTAAGCATCACCTAAGTCAGCAAGTGGGATGGTTACAGAATTTATTTTTAAGGATATCCTTCCTATTTCTTGTGGTAAAAGGCACCATGCCTGCTGCATGGAGGTGTTCAATAAGTGTTTGTTAAATGGTTTATAGAGCCAAGGATGTGGGGAAGGGAAGGAGCAGACTGAGAGGCCGGGAGAGAACCAGAATCAGCGAAGGAGAATTATTAAATTCAAGGGTACAGACACCCTCAGAAAGAGTTGGTCCGTGACACCAAATGCCAGAGAGAAGTCAGGTGGGGACTGGAAGGGTCCTTTGGATTTTGCAACGACGTGGACACCGCCAGAAGGACCTGCAAAGAATTGATCCGCAGGCCAGCGACACCGCAGTGGGCTGGAGACAGAAGGAAGACGACACTGGAGGTGTGAGCGGAGGTTTCCCTTTGGAGAAGTCTGGGGAAGGACAGAGGATACACGCAAACCGTCGCAGGAAGGAGGTCAAATTCAAGGCGGATTTCATTTTATCTCGGTTGGAAAACTGCTTCTATGGACGGCTGAGAAACGGGGAGAAACTGGAAATAGGATGTGGGTGCAGCAGTTCAACTATGAACAAGTGTGAAGTGGATGAAGATTCAGCTCTAAGAAGTGCACCTTCAAATAAATGTTAGGAAGAGGGTCCGCATCCCGGGACAGCGTGACCGAAGAACGTTTCTCTGACGCTAGGCTCAGCGAGCCCGGGACCCACAGGTCAGACCCAGACCATACACTGCTTTGCTGTGCCTTGAGAACTGAGTTAGACATCAACACTTGAAGTTCAATGAATTTCATGGAAAAGTCCACATCTTTGAGCTTTCTTCAAATGTTAAGAGATTTTTAATGTAACCATTATTTGTAGGCTGTTGTTCCTGTCAGCCAGCAGCAGGAGCCTATTTGGCTGCTTTTCCCTTCAGGGATTGGCAAAAATTCTGTGTAAAGGGCTCTGTTCTCTAACTCCTAAGTCCTACTTCTGAAATTGGGAAGCGACTATAAATGATATGTAAGTGAACAGGCATCGCTGTGTTCCAATAAACTTTACCTGTGAACAAGCTTGGGTTTCATACGATTTCCATCCATTAAGAAATACTGCTAACTGGGTGTGGCGGTCCACATCTGTAATCCCACCACTCTGGGAGGCTGAGGCAGAAAGATCACAAGTTTAAGCCCAGCCTGGGCAACTCAGCAAGTCTCTGAGTTGAAATAGAAAAAGAACTGAGGAAGGCCCTGAGTTTGATCTCCAGTCACACACACACCCACACACACACACACACACACACACACACACGAAAAATTGGTGTTCTTTCAACCATAAACATGTAGCAATTTTAGCTTTTTGGCCTGAGCGGAAACAGGTGACCAGCTGGATTTGCCTGGGAGACATAGTTTGTATCTGCCGCTCTGGATTCCCTCAAGTCTTTGTTCTCTTTAAAGCGAAATGAAGAAGTGTTTGGGACTTGCTATTCAGGAGATGGGCAAGTTGTCTCTGAAGCAGTGCCCCCCCCAGTCTTACCGTTCCCTTTTCTGCTCCAGGCAAGGAGAAGTTGCCTTCTTTGGTTGCGTTTGTGCTTTTATTTTTTTTCACGCTTACCCACTTCATTGGTTCACTTTAAGTGTCTGCAGTTATTCGAGTTTGATTCTTTTATAGAATGACCAGGTGTCTTCCATCACCCCAGACTGGAGGACTTTTCAGTGCTAAAGAGGGGAAGGCTTTAGGCAAAGCAGCATGAGCTGGTCCCTCAGCCCCAAGTTTACATTATCTTACATTTGTGAGGGCTTTGTCACCCAAAGGATCATTACTGGGGATCCGTCCTGTGCATCACACCCATTCATTCTTTGTACTTCCCTTCCCTTCCTCTGCCTCCTTCCACGTCTTGGTCTTCTCCTTTGCCAAAGCTCTAGCTTCCTGTTTCTTATCACCTCTTTCTCCTTCGTGTTTTGCTCATATTGTTTAATATATTCACAGAATTTACATAATGCCCCGCACATCGAATGAGAGTTGAATGACTGATTGTATCAGGATCCACTAGGGGAGCAGACTTAACATAAAATGTATATGACTAATAAAGGACTTACCAGGTAAGCGTACAGTGGCTCCTGTGGCATCAGGAGAAGGCGCAGGGCCGTCTGCACGCAGACGAGCTGGAAGACCCATGCGGAAGTTGAAGGCTTTGAGTTCCCCTTAGAGGATCATGGGAGTCCCCGTCAGAAAGCTGAAGGGTCTGTGTGGGAAGCCTGAGGGAGCTGGAGGCGAAGGTACACGGGGAGCTCCTCCGAAGGAGCAAAGGGGCGGACTTCCGTCTTCTTTCCCTTTTAATTCTATCCAGGCTACAGGACTATTTGTTGGTGCCACCCACATCCGGGTGGGTCTCCCTCCCACCTGCCAGTCCTCCACAGATAGCAGAACTGTGTCCACCGACCCACTCTTCCCTTCATAAACCTTTCGAGCTGACATCATCACGATGAGCGATCACACAGACGAACCTAGCTCTTCACCCTGGGTGAAAAATCCAGGCCAAGATGAAGACAAAATGGCAATCAAAGGGCCCCCACATCTTGCTCACTTCCTGAAATTAGAACTGCCTGTCTTTGTGAATCAGCTGATACCGCCCCCATCCGTGGAGCCCAATCGGTCAAATGATCCCAGCCTTTCTGCCTGCCGTCCTCCACACAGCTCCCCTCGGAGCAGGGACCCAGGACTTGGGCTTGGGTTCCAGCCAGGGCTCTGCCGTGCTGTGGCTGTCAGGCGAGATCCCACGTCAGTGCCGCCTCACTTTCTACCCTTAGATACTGTGAAAAGTAGAGTTATTGGCTGTCCAGCACCGTTACGCCTGCTTCTACAGAGGGTGCCCTCACCACGCCTTTCCCGCACAGCGCAACCAATGTCTCTCTGCTTCAGTCACTTCTGCTAGGTCTGGACACTCACAGAAGAAGACCTGACGCACTCAGCAGCTCCAGGTGAAAGTACCCCAATCAACCCAGACTCGGAAGACCTGTCCGAGTACTCAACACCTCTCCTGTTTTTGTTATTGTCCTCTGTTCTAGTTCAACATGCTTGCTTCAACTTCTGACTTTGTGCCCCACAATCACGTCTGTTAATTCTGGGTCCTGCCTGGTCACAAACCCGTCCATTTACCGTAGTCCCTGTGGCCTCCTCGCTATCTCCTCCCAGTTCCCTGCTCCTCTGTTAAAGCCTTCACAGACTCTAACCCTGCCTCAGGCACCTTCAAGTGCTGCAGGAACAGATCCACAGCTGCAATGAGTCCGGCACCTGGCCCCACCTTGCTCCTCCCGGGTTTTCCTGGTTCTAGAAAACTCCCAGGGTCCTTATTCTGTGTGAGGCTCTGCTGGTGAGGGGACCTGGTTCCGACCTTTTCTGAAAATCCAGGAACCAGGCCTCTTGGCTGAGTTCGATGAGAAAGGGCCTTTGCTCCAGGGGCCGTGACTGCTATGCTTGCAAGGCTGGGAGGCAGAGGATGGCTGTGGGGCGGACAGTGGTTTGATCACTGTATAATTTTACTCCCTCTGGGAATATTTCAAGTGTCTTCTACAAATGTCAGGGAGCCAGTGACTCATCAGACAGGGGAGTGTTGGTTTTGGAAGAGGGAGAGGAAGTCAGTGCCTTGGAGTCAGCAGTGGCTTTGCACTAAGGTAAAATCTCATCTCAGCAGAGGGCCCGAGAGTTGCTGGTCCTGGCCTAGGAGAGCTGTCCTGTCCCTCCACCCAGGAAGTGGGCATTGAGGAGCCAACTCTCACCTTCTGCCTCACAACCCTGGGGGTCAGGGAGGTCAGGAGATGCCCTGGTTGGCTTGGTTATTCCAGCAAATATGTGTGGCAGGAGATCAGCGGTCTTGGTGGACTTCCCCACTCAGAAACACAAGTGAGGGACCAACGTGTATGACAGGAAGGGCAAGGGAATGAGGCCATCTGCCTAAGGAGATAGTTCCTGCTGTAGCACTTACTTCTATGAGGCCATATCACAGGTGAAACACGTAGCAGATGTCACCAGGGTGTTGCTGCTGCGACAACACAGAGAGGTTGAACCAGCACTGTGGCTGGTTCCCTTTTTTGTCCCACGCAGGGATTTTGGGTGATGACTGTGACTTCATGGCCACTGGTGCATCTTCTAGAATATCTACGGCTCTCCTGTCCAGGCTGGGTTTTTTCTTTCAAAGGGTGACGATGTGTGTGCAGATTCTATGGTCTGGTGGCTGCGGTGGAGCTTTGAAGGAGGCTGTGAAGAGTGTTCCACTCCTCCCTGGCGAATCCTGCTGGTAGATGTGAGGGAAAGGAAGGAGGCAGGAGTCCAGCCTCGGTTGTGGGTGGTCAGTGTTGCAGGACCCTGTGGAATGTGGTTTGTACATGGCAACCCGGGCCTTAGTTCTCCTACCCAGCTCTCCTTCCACCTGCATCCAGCTTTTGCCTAATCTCCTTTCTGTCCCAACCCTCTAAGGTCAGGAATGACATCCTTGACACAAAACCCAGATGGGGGTTTTTCAGTGTGCGCTCTCTCGACATCCTTGTCTACCACCTTCTCCCGAGATCAGACGAGACCAGGTGTGTTCAGGACAGTATGGCCGTAGACTGACACCTCTTTCTTAGTCTCCCTCCTCCTGCTTAGTGGAAGCTTCTTTCTCTTTGCAGGATCGTACTTCTTTAACCCATCATTAAGTACTAACGTGGCTCCAGGTGTGGGCAGGACCTCTTCCTTTCCTTTGTTCTCTCTGTTCTCAGGGCTCTCGCTCATGTTCACAGTTGTCATGGTCATCTGGTTAGGGATGAGGGCCAATTCTCTCTCTAGTTCAGCTCTCACCTCAGAGCCACACACGTGAACATCCAGACTCCTACTCAGTACCACACACGCACATCTGGGGCAACCTCAGGCTGAGCCCGTTCTCTCCTAGTGTTCCTTTCTTCAACAGATATGGTAGCATCACCATCAAGTAGAAATTTAGCAGCTGTATTTGTCATTATCTTCTTTTCTCTCTAACATCACTCAGTCTATCAATTTTGCCACCTCCATTTACCTTCTTCCTCACTTTCACCCTGGTCCAATTGTTCTTCCTTCTCACTTGAATCATTGGAAGAGATTCCTATCTGGTCTTCTGGAATCTGTTCTGATCGTTCTTCATCCACCCTTCATTCTCCAACAAAAGTAACTTTTCCCAACGTAAATCAGATTGTAAGTGTCAGAATTCTGCTTCACCTTCACCCCAATCAACTATCTACTTAAAAGTCTTTAAAACTATTGCTCTGTGCAAAAACCAAAAGACCCTCAATAGGGCCCACAGAGTCATTTCTTATTGGTCCCCATTCCCTGTCCAACCGCATTAGTAGTCATTTCTCTTTCATCTTATATCCTTCTCCTGTCACACTGGCCTTTCTTGTGTTTCTTGATTAGGGCCAAGTTCCACATGGACGCAGGGCCCTTCCTTGTTCCCAGAGCAAATTTTCTTTCCTTTTTTTGCTTTCTTACTTTTAAATTCTCGAGGTAGCATGTCACGACTCAATCTGAAGAGGTTCTTTTGTTATATGATCATAGACGATCATTACCTCCTGCTTTGGGACAGAACATACATTCAGGGTTAACAGCCGTGTTCCTGACCAGACTGCGATACAGAATCGTGATTTTTCTCAGCATTATATCTCCAGTGTCCGGTATGAACATCTCACACTTGGTAAGCACGCAACAAATATTTGTTGAGGGAATGAATCAAAAGTCTATTATATAAGCCCTGTTTCCCTCACTTTCTAGAGGAAGAGCTGGAAGCTTAGAAAATATATGATGGAGCCGTATGGCTAAAACCTGTGTATCTAGCAGCAGAGCCCAGGCGATACCTGACATTACAGTAGCTTCTGTGGTTCCTGGGGAAAGGCACCATCATCACAGTGCTGTGTGTACGCCTGTATGTTTCTTATTGTAAAACAGAGAAACAGAGTACAAAACAACTGGTAATGTCTCCAACCACCTTCATTATTTTATGGGCTGCTATTAAGAGAAAGACCTAGATGACACAGAGCCAGTTATTAAACAAGATTCATATAATTTTACCATAGTTTTAGGGAGATTGCATTTTAGGTAGGATGACTGTGATAGTTCAGATCAAGGATGACCCCCAAAACTCTCAGGCGCTCAGAAGCAAGGCTTTTGGAAGGTGACTGGATCATGGTGGTGGTGAGGGAGGTATAGCTGTCTGGGATATTAGGAGGTGAGGCCCGGCCAGAAGAGGTGGGTCACTGGGGCAGTGACCTGGAAGAGACAAGTCATTGAAGGCATGACCCGGAAGCATTTATCTCCCTCCTTGGCTCCTTCCTTTTCTCTCTGCTTCCTGGCAGCCCTGATATGAGCAGCTCTCCTTTGCAGTAGGCCCTTCCCACATGACATTTTGGCCTTGTAGCCAGCTGATTATGGACTGAAAACTGTGAGCCCAGATAAACCTCTCCTCCTTTAAGTTGTGTGTGTTTTGCATTGTGGCAGCATGAGAAAGTCACTGAGACTTTGACCATGTCCTGATGGACACTTGTCCTAAAATACGCTTACTGAAATAAAATTACTGCTAGCACCAACTTTAACTCTCAAAAGTGTTCAACATGCTCCATCAGTTAGGAAGCCGCCCTGTTACAAATGAGGCATTAGGAATGGAGGGAGGAAGTAGATCTAGATTGCGGAGCCTTAGATCTTTGTTCTAGCTCTGCTTTTACATTTGATTGTGACAAGTTACTTTAGCATACTTGAAAGACGAGGTTCTTATTAGCCCATGCTTTTGAGAATTTTGTAATACCTTTAAGGTAGGACATTGTAGATAGGTAGAATTCCAACCAGCAGACATGGTTAGGAAGGCCTTGTAAGCTTGAGGAACACATGGGCTAGGCCACAAAGGGAGCAGAAGTACATGAATTATTTAGGTTCCTGGGCAACTTGGCTGGAGGGGGCAGACATAGGTCTAAGAAGGTAAATTAAAGAGATTTTTACTGTATGAGTAGGAAAGAATATGGGATGAAGAGAATAAGGTGGTATAACATATTTAAGTAACTCTGATAGGAACAGAAATAGATCTGAGATGCCTAAAAGAATATAAGAGATTTATTTGAACAGCTACAATACAAGATAATGGAGGATCAAAGTCGGGCAGTAAATGTAAAGAAAAGGGGCTTGGAGCGGAGACCCACCAAGTGGGTAGAAATGAACGTGTTTAGTGGCTGGGGAATGACTGCATTGGGACATTATTTATGCACCAGATGTGTTTAGCACCTATTTTGAGCCAGATACCGTGAGAGTTATTAGGGTGAAAAGACTTGATCACTGAACTTGAACCATGATGTAAACCTATTATATATAAACATAAACATCAGAATGGGCATGTGTGTGTTCAGGGGTCCCGTACATCAGGAAGAACACCTGTGCCTTCCTAAATGAACCAGGTGGGCATCACAGCAGAGGTGATCGGCCTGACC